TGACTCACCCCAGAACTGGCAGACACCCCTTCCGCTCACAGTCCATTGTCCAGAACTAGTCATGTGGCCCAACCGGGCCATGAGGGAAGTTGGGAAAAGAGGGTGGGCACTGGATGTGTGATGGGGACGAGATGTCTTGGCCATGACGACCCACCTCCAAGGGTGCTTTGAGTATCTGTGAGTGGTTACGCAGGACTCGGCACCTAGGGTTGTGCGAGACAGTAATCCGTACCCCCAGGGACCTGTGCCCATGCTCTGGTCCCGCTCCAGACTTCAGACGCTTGTCAGCATCTATCCACCCTTCTAGATTTACCACGAAAGGTCCTGTGACACTGGCCCCAGGCAGAAGGCGTTCTCATTTCTGGCCTTTCCTTGCTGTTTCTTATACAAGGGCACTTCAAAAAGGTCGTGGAAAAATGGAATGAAAGGATAATACAAATCCTTCTGTGACCTTCTTGAAGTACCTCGTACTTCACAGTTTCGCACCATGATGTCAACAGGTTTTCATAACCACCTGATGACACAGATTCCCTTGCTGTCCCTGTCTTACAGATGAGGAAACAGGTTCAGAGATGGAAAGCCACGTGTCAAAGTCACACAGTGAATCAGCAGATGAGCCAGGACCAGAGCCTGATCCGTCCCAGGCTCCTAACCTGGAGATCACCCCACGAGGCCTCATACCAGACTCTCTTGCCACACTGGGTGCCATATGAGAACAGGACTTTGTCAGATTCTTGTCCAACGACACCTTTCCCACCTGAATCTCACATGTGCTCAGTATTATCTAATTGAATGGTACCGTTCCCTTAGATCTCGGGTGACAGTGACCTAACTGGAGCTGGAACCAGGACTGGGACGGGCTGTTTAGGCCCTACAAAGCTGTCACTGCACCTGAGGCAGCGAGTGCCTTATCAGCTCCCTTCTCAACCTTCTGGTCCACATCATTTATGGCAGCAGTGGAAGAGAAGGACGCAGCCAGGCTCAGAGCAGGTGGGAGCCCCAGGAGGAGTGATCCCTTCCTTGAGGTAGCCCACCCCATTTTCTCCAAGTGGAGAGCTGGCTTGTCTTGCCTCCGCCCACACAAAAGTCTCTCAGTGCGAGGTGCTGGGAGCCAAGGTCTCTGAGTCTCTGCCACACTGTGCTGTCTGCCAGCAGGAAGTCAGGGACCTAAGAAGCCATGACAAAATGGCATGATCAAAGGCTTTCACAGGGTTGGCCGGTTAGCTCACTCAGAGCGTGGTGCTGATAACACCAAGGTCCAGGGTTTGGATCCCCAGACTGGCAGGCTGCCAAAAAAGAAAAAAAAAAAGCTGTCACGGGGTCACAGGAACATTTTTGAGCAGTACCTGACCAATCTGCAACACTGGGGAAACCTCCTTGGGAAGGCTCATCCAGACAAGAACGCAGGAGGGCATTCAGGTAGGAACCAGATTTACAAAGACCCAGAGGAAGAAAACTCAGTGGGTCCAAAACACAGAGGGATTCACTCTGGTCGAACAGTGATGAGGGAAGGTGCTTCGCTGGCCGTGTGTGTCACTTGGGTTCTTGCTGTGAGATGAGAACCAAAAGCTTTAGCTGGATCTATGAACACTGCCTAAGAACACAAAGCCATCTCTCTACACACGGGCAAGCCCAGCGATGAAGCCCTGCAGCACAGCCGGTGACTGATCCCAGCCCTGGGAGGCACAGGTGGGTGGAGGTGGGAGACGTGGCCTGCTTTTCCTCGGGCTTCTCACCAAAGTCAGAGTTTCCCATGGAACCTGGAGGTTCATGGACGTAGTCCTTGAGAGATGGTTCCCTGGGTCCTGTTTTTATTAACTTTATTTTTATTTTCTTTTTGGCAGCTGGGCAGTATGGGGATCTGAACCATGACCTTCATGTTCTAAGACTACGCTCCAACCAACTGAGCTAACCGGACAGTTTTTTGTCTTGTTCTTGCCTGTGTAGTTTGACAGGTCAGCCGTCAACAGGACCAGTGCTGTTATCTATCCCGCTGGAGACTGCCGCCTTCGCCTCCCCCAAGTCTCCATCCCCTCCCGAGCTTCATTTCCTCCTCCGTGCAGTCACTGTCCTGTCGATTACGTGTCCCTCCCTGCAGCTTCAGCACCACGAGGCAAGGGGTCTTGTCTGTCCTGTTGGCTGCTGTGTCTCCCATACAGGACCCAGTTCCTGGACCACCCCCACCTCATCACCCTCCACACAGTCATGCACGTTATGGTGCTAACTGTGATGTCACTAGAGGGGACATCTGATGTTGCAGGCATAAGGCACCTGTCAAATGGGACTAACAATGATATTTAGCTGGTGCAGCTGTTGTGCATTAAACCTGTGAAACCCTGGAGAGTGCCTGGCCCAGCAGGAGTGTTCGGCAACGTCAGCCTCGCGCCATGCTCCTCTGCCTTTTTCTCTTCTTCCTTCTTCATTTTCCCATCAATTCTCCTCGTCTGCCTAATTTTACCACTGGCAGCTAATCGAGCTGCACTTTCGTTTGTGGTACAGACGCTTCCCCCATCACTGTACTTGTCCGGGGCCCTGGCATTCTGCCGCTAAAAGGTAATTGCATGTTTAGTTTTCCACCAAATCTCAAGGTTAATTAGCATAAAATATACAATTTTGTTAGTGTTCAGCTTTTGCTCCTCCACACCCTAATTTAATTTAAATTAAATTAATTTAAACCTGTGATGCTTGCTCACTGCTTCTCTGTTAGGGAAACTACCAATAAAAGGGGGAGGAAACCTGAAAAATTTTCAGGGAAAGGGAAACAATAATGTTTAGTTAACAACTTGCATCTTTTATAGACTTATGCATAAATAGGGTTTGTGTTCTTTAAAATCATCTCTAGCTTAATGAATCCCTATACTTAATTTGATATGTCAGTGTTTCGTGGTTCACTCTCTAATTTACCTGGCTGTTGTCTGGTCTTGCAGGCAGACCCATGCCCTCTGTGGGCAACTGCTTCTTCCTCATGGGGTATAATCCAGAAAGGCTACTTTATGGACTAACTGCATCCTGCTCCCCCAAATTCGTGGGGTGAAGCTCTATCCCCCAATGTGACAGTATGTGGAGATGGGGACTTTGGGAGGTAATTAATGTTATATGAGATCACGAGCTGGAGTCCTTATGATGGGTTGGTGTCCTTATGAGATCTGAGAGAGCTTGTTTCCTCTCTCACTCTCTCTACCATGCGAGGATGCAGTGGGAAGGTGGCTGTCTGCAAGCTGGGAAGAGACTCCTCACCAGAACCTGACCTTGCTGACACCCTGCTCTCGAACTTCCAATTCAAACTCTGCGAAAATGCATTTCTCTTGTTTAGGCCACCCAGCCTATAGTATTTTGTTATGGCAGCCTCAGCTGACTAAGACACACTGTAACACTGTGTCCCACTCTCCACGCTACAAGGGGAAGGTATGAACCAACCCAAGACAATTGGACACATTATCCCTGGAAATGGATCTTAAGCAGAGTGAAGAAAATAAAAATAGTTGTGTTTATTCATTTGTGGTAGAGGCTCCCTGAGCAGACTCCTCCTGCTGTGGGATGTCCCTGCTATTCTGACATCCTCATCTCTCAGAGCTGCCCTTCCTTCTGCCTGTTTCCAGGCCCGAGTCTCCAGTCTCCCACACTGACATTGTGAGCTCTGGATACTATCCCAATGAATCCCTCGTTTAAATACTTATGCATAAGGTTAGCATTTTTTATTTATTTTATTTTATTTTTTTAAAGATGACCAGTAAGGGGATCTTAACCCTTGACTTGGTGTTGTCAGCATAAGAAACTACGAATTACTTTATAGTCAGGAAACTCTAAAACACCTATAGTATGGGCTTTCACTGAGACTATGTAATTGGAAAAAATGAGGTGATTTAAGAAAAATATTGGTTTATATAGGTGTTTCATCGTGGCTTTCTATTTCCATGGAGAAAGGATATTGATGTATTACTTATTTAATTTCCACAAGACCAAGTGAGCATTAAACTTTAATATGTTACAGAAAAGGATCGTGGCAAATTGTATTTGAAGCCAGAGTGGCTGATGTTTCAATCCCTCCAAAAGATTGACTGGGTCAAGACTTGTTGAGGTGTTAGGATCAAAGTTGATGTTTAGTCAGTTTCTTAACTCAACAAATGATTATTGTGCCAGCTCTGTTACTGGCACATACGATGTACGGCATGACCCTTTGCCATCAAAGAGGATATGGTCTAAAAGAAGATGTGGAGGTATACAAATAAGAGCCATAAATCAGAGGCACCAAGACAGAGCTGTCTATCAGAGCAGTGAAGCCCAGAGGCTGGGCTGCCCAGTTCTAGTGGAAGAAGGTGGGGAGGTGTCCAGAAAGGTTTAGGGGTGTGTGTGTGTGTGTGTGTGTGTGTGTGTAATGATTTCAGCTAGAGTTGACAGTGTGAGGAAATGCTGTAGGTGAGAAATAGGCAGCGAAAGTTGATAAATGCAGGAAGCTCACTATGACCCAAGTACTGGGTGTGAGGAGAGAGGCAGAAAATCACAGCTGAAGATGTGGGTTGGGTCAGACTGTAGCAGGCCCCGGAGGTCATCTGGCCATTCCTTGGCATATGAAACTGATCCATCAGGTACCCTAAACTCATTATAACTTTTAAGCAGTGGATTGAAATCATCATATTTTTGTTTTAGAAAAGTCACTTCGAGGGGGGAGAGAAACTCTTATGCGAAAAGGAAAAACTAGAATC